GTACAGATTTTTCTCCGTCAGCCTTCGTCGTGGCGAGATATACATGTATACCTATACATGCAGATACCTTCAGACGTTAATGTGTGTACATAATTTACAAAATACGAGTCACACGGCCATCTGTGTACAAGATGTAACTACATACGCTTGCTGGCTTCTCCTTTCCTCACTACAATCGGTGGTGGCACTTGCCACAGGCTCATCCGATGTGCGCACGCGACCGCTGCCCACCAGGGCCACAAGAGGGCGCCATGCAGCTCGCGCGCATTCTGTTGTGGCCTCTTGAGTTTAGGCCCCAGGGGTGTCAAACTCATTCCACGGAGGGCCTAGTGTCTGCTGATTTTTGGTTTTTCCTTTCAATTAAGACTTAGACAACCAGGGAGTTCCTTACTAATCAGTGACCTTAATTCATCGATCAAGTACAAGGGAAGAGCGAAAACTCGCAGATACAGCCCTCAGTGGAATACATTTGACAGGTGATTTAAATAACGTTGTCATGCAAATACGAATATGTAAATGATCTGCTCTACCTTCCATTGGAATTTCTTCTTCTCACAATTAGATTTTAGCCTACTGAGTGAATGCTAGACATCATGGCTGTAATTGTACAAAACGTTTCTCAATGTCAATGACTTACTTGCCAATTGTGAAATTGATGTTTAGCCGTAATTCCCCCATTTCTTATGCATCTGCTGAAAGTCAAGGACATGGTTTAGCATATAATTTTCATAATGCAAAAGCATATAAAATGTATATGCAAAAAGCATATCCATTCAATAATAGGCAAACCTCTATCCCACAAAAAACGGACAGACAGAGAAACAGGGACTAGAGCAGGGGTGTCAAACTCATTTTAGCTCAGGGGCCACATGGAGGAAAATCTATTCCCAAGTGGGCCGGACCGGTAAAATCATGGTATATATAACTTAAAAACAACAACTTCAGATTGTTTTCTTTGTTTTAATACTATCAACATAAAACATAAAGCTGGAGCCTGAGGACAGTGTGTCCAAAATAGTACAAGCACAACATCACTATTAATCATAAAACACCTCAAGTTTATTTGAAAATTCTAAAGAAAAAGAACACACAAACACACAATGCCTCAGTGATTCACAGAACTGTTTCACAGATCACAGAACTATATCAGGGTGTCATTTCTCAGGCAGAAATGTAGATACAAATAATGAAATCCTGTTCCCCAAACAAGTGCAAGAACCACAGAGTCAAGAATAGGTTAAATATACAAATAAAATAAAATCAATTAAAAACAATAGCACATTAACATAAAAACATATAAACATAAAGCTGGAGCCTGAGGACAGTGTGTCCAAAAGCACAACATCACTATTAATCATAAAACACCTCAAGCTATTTGAAATTCTGAGGACAAACAACACACAAACACACAATGCCTCAGTGATTCACAGAAGTATATCACAGATCACAGAACTATATCAGGGTGTCTCATGCAGCACTTTAAGTGGGGTTGCATAGTTTATTTGACTCCTGATACCTGGCATCTTTTAGCTTTCACCAGCGCATCAATATCAGGCGTCACAATCCTGAGTGGCAGCCAACTTCAGGATGTGATTCAAGTGCTTGTGCATGAGCCTTGAGCGCAGCTTTGTTTTATTTATGCTCATTACAGAGAACTTGCTCACAAAGATATGTGGTTCCAAACATGCACAACAGTTTTGCAGCGAGGGCTGTCAAGTTGGGGTAACCTGGCAAGAGATTCTGATAAAATGTGTCCAAGCCAGCTGCGGCAAATTTGCCCTTCAAATCCGAGTCACACTGCAAGTATATTATTTCAAGTTGGATGCTGACGGGCAGATCAGAGGGATTCACGGTTAATGGCGAACAAAAAACGTTGAAGTCTTTCTCCAGTTCACCAAAAATCTGATAGCGTTGCTCAAACTCCCTTAACAGTCCCGTTATTTTATCTTTGAACCGCTTCATGTCTGCCACATGTTGGGTCGCGCACACATTTTTCAGACAGGGGAAGTGAGCTGCATCACCACCGGCGAGTTGCGTCTCCCACAATGACAGCTTCAACTTGAAAGAACGTATGCTGTCATAATACTGCGTGGCAACTTTGTTGCACCCTTGCAGCTGTTTGTGCAAGTTATTCAGGTGCTCTGTAACATCCACCATAAATACAAGGTCCTGCATCCATTCTGCGGAATGAAATTCTAACACTGGTTTGCCCTTTTCTTCCATGAACTGTTCAATTTCTTCTCGTAAATCAAAGAAACGCCTCAGCACAGCACCTCGGCTTAACCATCTTACCTCAGTGTGGTATGGCAGGCCATAGATGTGGTCTTTCTCTCTGAGAAGGCTGTCAAACTGACGTTGATTCAGGCTTCTGGATCGGATGAAATTAACAGTTTGGATAATAATAATAATAATATAATAATAATAATAATATAATATATAATAATATAATAAAAATTATAACCACCTTCATGACGTTATCCATCTTTAATGACTTGCAACACAAAGCCTCCTGGTGCAAAATACAGTGAAAAGTCCAAAAATCACATCCTCCATTTGCAGATTGCACTTTCTCTCTGAACTTTGTCACAACGCCTGCTTTTTTCCCGATCATTGAGGGCGCACCATCTGTAGCCAGGCTGACAGCGCGGGACCAGTCCACTCCGACCCTGTCCAGCGCGCTGACGGGTGCAGTGAAAATATCAGCTGCTGTCGTTGTATCTGTCATCGGCACCAACTCCACGAACTCCTCGGTGACGGTCAATGTGTCATCAACTCTGCGGATGAAAATGGCCAGTTGTGCAACATCTGTAATGTCCGTGCTTTCATCAATTGCCACCCGAAAACGCAATAAATTACTTTACTTTTTGCTTCAACTGGCTGTCCAAATCCACTGAAAGATCGGAAATCCTGTCTGCAACTGTGTTTCTTGTCAGGCTGATATTTGCAAAAGCCTGGTGCTTTTCAGGGCACACAATCTCCGCTGCCTTCATCATGCATGTTTTTACAAATTCACCCTCACTAAATGGTTTTGAAGCCACTGCGATTTCATTAGCAATGAGGTAGCTAGCTTTCACTGCAGCGTCACTGATGTCTCGGCTGTGAGTAAACACAGACTGCTGTTTCTTCAGACCCGCCAACAGTTCATTCACCTTCTCTCTTCTCCGCTGTCCTTGAAAGTTGTCATATTTGTCGGCATGAAGACTCACATAGTGGCGACGAAGGTTATATTCTTTCAGCACTGCAACATGCTGTGAACACACCAAACATACAGCTTTCCCATTCAATTCCGTGAATAAATAGAAGGATGACAATTTTTCTTGGAACACTCTGCACTCTGCGTCCACTTTTCTCTTTTTTGACAGAGACATATTGGGGCAATGAGGGTGCCAAAGCACATAATGTTAAAAGTAGAAGCCGTAATAAATATCACGGGCAAAACAAAGTAGCTCATCCGGACTGGCTGCACTTGCTTGACCTATTTGCTCTGCCCCGGTATAAACAGTTTGCTTGCTTAACACAATTGTTATTGCGCCATCCAGTGGACACAATTGGAACAGCAGTTTATTTTATTGAAAAATTGCAGCTCATTTTTATACTTTACAAAATCATCTCGCGGGTCGGATTAAACCCGTTTGCGGGCCTGATCCGGCCCGCGGGCCGGACGTTTGACACCCCTGGACTAGAGCCTTTATTGAAAGGGGTGGAGTTAGATGGGCCATTTTCTTCCCATTCAAGACATATTTCAATAGATGGGTTGGCCGACAAGGTCAAGAAAACAATGCGCACGCTTGAATGGGGGCAGAAGTCCATGAGTTGTTGTGATTCTGGATGGCCAGATAGCTACTAACAAAGACAAGAAACTGCCATGTGTTGAATCGTAAGTGACTTGTTTAATCTTATTGACAGCATGTCTTGTTTTGACTGATTTCATGTCAATATGGCTAAAATTCGCTAGCTAGCTAGCTAGCCAATCACTGTAACGATGTATTTGAGAGACAAGTGCCCATTGTGCAAATTTTTTCTATAAACATTGGAGACGAAATATAGTTTACATGTTGTCAACAATCTAAGCCAACCGTCTTTTGTCCCATTTTTGCGCACGCGTTGGTTTTGTTGCTAAAACAACCAACCCATCTATAATGAGGCACTTACGCTCAGGCAAGTGCAGAATGAACAGAATAACATCGTCTTTTGGCGCCCCCTGGTGGGATTAATGAGAAGACCGCTGTCGCTGCACAGTGCTTAACTGGATGAATGAAGCGTGCAGATCCGGCATTATACATTAACAATTGCCCACAGACCTAGGCCTGCTGCATGTATCAAGCGTCTGAGTCCTGATCTAGGATCAGTTCTTTTTAGATCATAATGAATAAGATTACATTTTTAGGAGGGTCCAGGGGCTCAAGAGTAAGTGCTGATCTAGGATCAGTTTTGCCCTACATAGACAAGGGAAACATTTACATCATTTACATTTTAGTCATTTAGCAGACGCTCTTATCCAGAGCGACTTACAGGAGCAATTAGGGTTAAGTGCCTTGCTCAAGGGCACATTTACGTCATTTAGCAGACGCTCTTATCCAGAGCGACTCACCAATTGGTGCGTTCACCCTATAGCCAGTGGGATAATCACTTTACCTACCTAGATCAGCACTCCTACTCTGCAAAGCTTGATATATATGACCTGATCTTATTTACGTTCAGTTTTCTGCTTCTTCAATCTTTCACATTGTCATTACATCAACCCATAAGACATTACAGTAATTGCCAAATACATACTTTAAATGCACTCATACTTCACAAAGGACAGCCTATAAAATACACCCATCAAGGTAGTATTTCCAATTACTGACCCACACCTAACCTGCTCCCAGATCTGTTTGTGCTCTTGCCAACTCCATTGCTCATTGTCAAGCTAAGACAATCTGACAAGGATTTGGCATGATAGCACAAACAGATCTGGGCACTCAGGCTAAACCACACAGCACACACAGAATATTGAGGTATTTTTAATATTTGTACAAAATAGTATAAGTCACAAATGAATAGTAAGAATTCGACAGTACACATGGTCTCATAGGACTTTCTCTATTTCTGGACCAAAACCTAAAACATTCTGCTATGCTTGTTTTCAGTGTATTATAAATGTGACAAATCATGTATATATTACTATCAAATTCAAAGAGAAGGAAACAATTGAGATAAATATCTAACTTTATCCACACAGATAGATTTGATCAGTCTTTGATGAAAATGCAAATAAAGTTACACAATATCCAAATAACAAAGTAAAGACAAGCCTGAGACACATGGAAAAGTGTTGTTACCTAACAGTACAATTTCAAAAGATAATGTTTATCTTAGGCACTAATGTCATCACGTGTGCAATTCATGAATATAGCCTACGAGGTGTAAAAATAAGTTTCTTTAGGATTCTAAACTAGTTCTATTCCACGTAAAATACACAAGATTACTCATAAATACACTGTATACATTTGCCAAACAAACAATGATTGCTGCACAGCAAGTTATCTATAAGAAAAGGTGGATTATTAGCACTTTAGCCTGGTAACAGATCTGTTTGTGCTCCTGGCAACTCCATTGCACTTGCCCTTTGTCAAGCCAAATGTTTGACATGACAAGGAGATGGCATTATAGAATTATAGCAGACCGCCACAACTTAATTGAAATCGCCAATTTTATATATTCAACCTTGGATACAAAATGTATATTAATGCATTTTAATCTTCATTTAGCACAAAACAAGATCTTAGAACCGCCAGCAATAACATATTGCTCATGATCTACTTACTATTACACCTAATTGTATTCTGTTCGTGATGTCCATTCAGATAGGCAGCGTTCTCTGGCCTCCTGTGCATTTGCCGAGTTTTACAGACATTACTTGTTTCATTTATTCATTTTTCTATCCACCATCTAATTATTGGATCATTTTTTAAAAACCTTTTCCACTTCTGTGCATTTGGTCATCAAACATTTGGTCTCTGAAATATCCCTTTCCTCTATTTGTGGTCACCTGTTCATTCTTTCAGCAACATTATTAGTCCTCAAATAATTAAATAAATGTCAAGTTCAAATGTCAAGTCCAAACGGTTGCTTCAACCATCAGTCAAGCTAGCCTATTGAGCTCCAGCATTGTCAGTGAGATTCCAATCAATCAATCGAGAGATGTCCTTTGCAGCACATTACTGGACCAAAAACTAGAAAGTGAGAAAAAGTATTGTAGGAGCCTGTAGTTCCATGATATTGTAACAGAGCATTATTCTTCCAACTTAACTGTAGTCTTACATTACCAATACCATACTGCCAAGTCTCATCAGGGACAGACTGGCCATAGGGCAGTTCTGGTAAATGCCAGATGGGTTGGTCCATCTTAAGCCCAGTGGGCCTGTCTAAATTGTTGTTTTTGCACAAAATGATCGTTATTTGGCTAATAATGGGGGGCCTTGGGTGGGATGATTTTTTTTTTGTCTGTGGTGTAAAATGCCAGGGCAGATTTCTGGTCCCAGTCCATTCCAAGTCTCGCTAATCAGAATGAACGTGAGGAAGCCTGGAAATCGAAGCTAGTCAAACTGTCATAGTCCATGCTTCTATCGTTTCTCCAGATATATATGTGCTGCTAACCTTAGAACCAGAGAGACCTTGGGTCGCAAAAGGTGCAAGTCCTTAGAAACGGTCTGCATTCCAACTCTCCACCCTTCTCCCAAAATGTGCACTTGTCTTGCACACTCCCCGTTATTAAAAGCATTGGATCGGTGTAGGGCCTAAGCATTGGCTGGAGGGAATTTCCATTTCCACCATTGTTAAATCCATGATGATGAGTGTGCACTCGTTAGGAGAAGAGTGGAGGAAGGGAGGGATGCATGTCCCTGCAGAGTGTTTAATTCTCTAAGGGGGCACGGAGGGGGATACAGCCGTCCATTTCGAGAGACTCAGGCCAGCCTTCATACTTGTTACTGCTCTTACTGTTCTTCATCCGCTAGGGGAGAGGGAGACGGGGAGGGAGACGGGGAGAGGGAGGGCATAAACATTAGGCTTTACAGCATAGGCTTTACAGCAGGGGTCGCGCAAAAGTTAAAAAACAAATGCACTGTAACTTAGGCTTTAAATCTGCCAAGTTCCCTCTGTATCATGGCAGTGTAGAATTGCAGGATATTAGCTTTAAAGTGGCAACAAAAACTCTGCCCCATGACAAAATGTGAAGAACTGCAGGAAATTAGCTTAAACTGCTAAATGTTCTCTCCGATGCCTTTTAAATTATCTATCCCCGGGCCCGAGACTTGGTTCGTCCAGCCATGTACTGCAGACGTCATAGTAAAACTCCTTGTAATCTACTTTTATCGTAAACAAGTTGTGTTCTGATTATGAGGGGGGGTCCCTGATCAATTTGCAAACACAAAAAAAGGGTCCCCGGACCCAAAGGTTTGATAACCCCTGCTTTACAGAACAAACACAGTGACAGAGCCATATATATTAACTATGGACAAAGCAACAAGGAAGACAATGGTGAGTGTACAGGTGCTTCATCACGTGTCAGAGGTCATGTCTCCTTATCTCACGCACACCCAATTAGAAGTATGCAGGATCACTGTTTGAGTTGTGCACTGTATAAATGTGGCTTACGGTAAAGGTAGTCTACCTGTTCGAATGGACTCTTGTTCTCGATTCCCTTGGCTCCTACAAACACCCAGCTGTCTCTGAAGGTGAGCTCCTTCACGGCTGTGCTACCCAGCTCCTCAAACAGACGACGCGCCTCGTCATTCAACCTGACAGACACAGCAGGTTACAGTCAAGTAGGCTATAATGTCCATAATATCCATTAAGAGCCAGTTTCCTGGACAAAGATTAAGCCTAGTCTTGGAAGCACTTTCAATGGAGATTCTCCATTAAGTATGCTTTTTAGTCGAGTAGTCGTCTTAATCTGTGTCCCTTAGTGTTTTGTTTTTCGTGACATGCAGAAATGCATTAAAAGTTGTCAGGATGCAAATGTACAGGAAATGTACATTTGTAGATGTAGTTGTACTTTAAAGGTGGATTTCATTGTTAATCCGTTTTTGCTAAGCATTTTACTAGTTTTTGGTGACTGTAAAACAACTCATCCCTCCAGAATTGTGTGTGTGCCACAGGGCGTAATAACCACACAATGTTAAAAGCTTTGCATGGGACTGGAGCTCACTTAGCAGTGTCCAGGGGGGCAGAAACTACACTATAACAACTATCTGGGGGGGGGGGGGGAGAACTACATTATCAACAGTACAGTAACAGTTCTCAGACTGAAAATGGCTTCCATGTGTGTACAGTGCATTCGGAAAGTATTCAGACTCCTTGATTTTTTTTCAATATTTTGTTACGTTACGGCCTTATTCTAAAATGGATTAAATCGTTTTTTTCCCTCAATTTACACACAGTACCCCATAATGACAAAGCAAAAACACATTTTTATAAATGTTTGCAAATGTATTCCAATTTTTTTTTGGAAACATCACATTTACATAAGTATTCAGACCCTTTACTCAGTACTTTGTTGAAGCACCTTTGGCAGCCTCTAGTCGTCTTGGGTATGATTCTACAAGCTTGGCACACCTGTATTTGGGGAGTTTCTCCCATTCTTCTCTGCAGATCCTCTCAAGCTCTTTTCGGGTCTCTCCAGAGATGTTCGATCATCGGGTTCAAGTCCGGGCTCTGGCTGGGCCACTCAAGGACATTCAGAGACTTGCCCCGAAGCCACTCCTGCGTTATCTTGGCTGTGTGCTTAGGGTCGTTGTCCTGTTGGAAGGTGAACATTTGCCCCAGTCTGAGGTCCTGAGCGCTCTGGAGCAGGTTTTCATCAAGGATCTCTGTACTTTGCTCCGTTCATCTTTCCCTCGATCCTGACTAGTCTCCCAGTCCCTGCCATTGAAAAACATCCCCACAGCATGATGCTGCCACCACCATGCTTCACCGTAGGGATAGTGGCAGGTTTACTCCAGACGTGACGTGGCATTCAGGCCAAATAGTTCAATCTAGGTTTCATCAGACCAGAGAAACTTGTTTCTCATGGTCTGAAAAGTCCTTGAGGTGCCTTTTGGCAAACTCCAAGCGGGCAGTCATGTGCCTTTTTACTGAGGAGTGGCTTCCGTCTGATTGGTGGAGTGCTGCTGAGATGGTTGTCCTTCTGGAAGGTTCTTCAGAGGAACTCTGTCAGAGTGACCACTGGGTTCTTGGTCACCTCCCTGACCAAGGCCCTTCTCCCCCGATTGCTCAGTTTGGCCAGGCGGCCAGCTCTAGGAAGAGTACTGGTGGTTCCAAACTTCTTCCATTTAAGAATGATTGAGGCCACTGTGTTCTTGGGGACCTTCCATGATGCAGACATGTTTTGGTACCCTTCCCCAGATCTGTGCCTAGACACAATCCTGTCTTGGAGCTCTACGGACAATTCCGTCGACCTCATGGCTTGGTTTTTGCTCTGACATGCACTGTCAACTGTGGGACTTTATATAGACAGGTGTGTGCCTTTCCAAATCATGTCCAATCAATTGAATTTACCACAGGTGGACTCCAAGTTGTAGAAAAATCAAGGATGATCAATGGAAACAGGATGCACCTGAGGTAAATTTCAAGTCTCATAGCAAAGGGTCTAAATACTTATGTAAATAAGGTGTGTTATTTGTATTAAATTTGCAAACATTTCTAAACCTGTTTTCGCTTTGTCATTATGGGGTATTGTGTGTAGATTGATGAGGAAAACAATTAATTTAATCCATTTTAGAATAAGGCTGTAACGTAACAAAATGTGGAGAAGGGGTCTGAATACTTTCCAAATGCACTGTATGTGGGGTGGGGAGAGAGTGTGGAGGCAGGAGAGAGAACATTCTGGACTCTTACTTTGTGGCAGGATCATCAAAGGAAGCTACAAACACAAGTGTTCCCTCATGTAGGGGCCGGAGATACTTCAACAGGTCAGTTACATCTGAGAATGTAGGACAGAGACAATGTCTTAAAGGGGAACGGAAATGCACCTGGATTTATCAGAACAATATGGGTTGGTTTCCTGCACACAGATTGAGTCTAGTTCTGGATTTAACAGAATTTTCAATGGAGATTCTCTATTGACAGTTGCTTCTTAGTCCAGGACTAGACTTAATCTGTGTCCGGGAAACCGGCCCTATATGTACCCCTTATTTCACAGAACAGCACATTTAATATTAGCTAGTTTAATCCACTCACCTCCTTCCCACATATCAAACGATTTAGTGTCCAAGAGATCTCCGGATACCCCTGAAGAGCAGAAACATGTAGTGGTGTAAGTAATTAGTACATACAGTGCATTCAGAAAGTATTCAGAAATGTTTGCCTATGTATTAAATACAAAAAGATACCTTATTTACATAAGTATTCAGACCCTTTGCTATGAGACTTTAAATTGAGCTCAGGTGCATTCTGTTTCCATTGATCATCCTTGAGATGTTTCTACAACTTGATTGAAGTCCACCTGTGGTAAACTCAATTGAATGGACATGATATGGAAAGGCACACACCTGTCTATATAAAGGTCCCACAGTTGACAGTGCATGTCAGAGCAAAAACCAAGCCATGAGGTCGAAGGAATTGTCCGTAGAGCTCCAAGACAGGATTGTGTCTAGGCACAGATCTGGGGAAGGGTACCAAAACATTTCTGCATCATGGAAGGTCCCCAAGAACACAGTGGCCTCCATCATTCTTAAATGGAAGAAGTTTGAAACCACCAAGACTCTTCCTAGAGCTGGCCTCCCAGCCAAACTGAGCAATCGGGGGATGTAACCAAGTACCCGATGGTCACTCTGACAGAGCTCCTCTGTGGAGATGGGAGAACCTTCCAGAAGGACACCCATCTCTGCAGCACTCCACCAATCAGGTCTTTATGGTAGAGTGGCCAGACGGAAGCCACTCCTCAGTAAAAAGCACATGACAGCCCGCTTGGAGTTTGCCAAAATGCACCTAAAGGACTCTCACACCATGAGAAACAAGATTCTCTGGTCTGATGAAACCAAGATTGATCTCTTTGGCCTGAATGCCAAGCATCATGTCTGGAGGAATACTGGCACCATCCCTACGGTTGAAACATGGTGGTGGCAGCATCATGCTGTGGGGATGTTTTTCATCGGCAGGGACTGGGAAACTGGTCAGAATTGAAGGAATGATGGATGGCGCTAAATACAGGGAATTTAATCAATTTTAGAATAAGGCTGTAAAATAACAAAATGTGGAAAAGGTCAAAGGGGTCTGAATACTTTCCGAATGCACTGTACATAACATTCAATCAAGCATCACTATTTGTGAATGAATTGGAAAATGTAACTTTATGAAGATTTGTAGGCGTTTGAGTGCGATTCTAATTTCTTACCATTTACTAAAGCAATGTTTAGTCCTCTGCCAACATTGTTCTTGACACTGCTCACAAGGCTGAGGGGGAGAAATAGGAGAGGTTGGGAGGCGAGAAGGGTACAAGAGCACAATTATTTTGTCTGGAGGGGATAACATACTGTTCAGGGGTCGGTTTTCCCAAAAGCTTTGTAGCACTAAGACCATCCTAAGCCCACTGTAGGCAATAGACGAAAGATGAGCTACTAAGCTTTCAGGAAACTGAAGGAGCCACAAACAGAATGAAAGGCATACCGAAGGGATGATGCCACAGACAAAACCACCAGATTGATGAAGGACTAGCCTGGTCCCAGATCTGTTTGTGTTGTCTTGCCAACTCCTATGGTCATTGATCATAGGAGTTGGCAAGACTGCACAAACAGATCTGGGACAAGGCTAGAAGGACAGCAATACAGACAGAAATAAAATGCCATTTATGAGTATTATTATTATTATTAAATACTTGCATTCAGCTCTTCAGGCAAACTTTAAGGCCTGGTTAAAATAAGAGTATGGCAGAGAGAGTGATGGGAGAAATAACAAGAACAGAAGTAGAGGGAGAGAGTGAAAGATGGAGAGGGTTAGATGGATGGAGAGAGAGTTGGATGGATGGATGGAGTGAGTGAGAGAAAGAGTTGGCGAGAGTTTGAGTGATGACAATTCTCACATCTTATCCTCCAGGCAGATTTTGGGCCCAATGACGTTGGCGGCTCCAGAGACAAGACGGAAGGCCAGATGTTTCTGAGGACATGGAGCCGACAGACCACACTTGTACCTGCGTGGTTTGGCCTCTGGAAGAGGACAAGAGAGGACACAAACTAGCACAATAGACCCAGGCCGGGAATGTGGTGCTCAACTAAGGGACATAAATTAGCACTGTCCCACTGACATTGAAATGGTGAAGTTCCAAAAGACAAAGCTTCAAACTAAGTGATTGCCACTAAATAATGGTCTTAACTTGACACGTACCAACTGTTGGCTCCTCATTTGTCCCTGTAGAAAAAATTAACAAGAGGGAATGAAACAATCAATCAACTGAATCATAGTTTGAATCAGCAATGTTGTCAATTCTTATAACTGTTTGATATAAGTTAAGTTTAGTTTAATCTTATTTCAGCACATAGAACCAAATCTCACATGCACACTGCTGGCCAACTATGTTTTGTCAAGACTGGGTTGAATCTAAAACATGTACAGTATACTACATACATACATACATACATACAATACAGAGAACAGCAGTGGGGTTGTCGCTTACCACTGAAGAAGTGTTTGACCAATGAGCTACTGTCCCCTCCAAGTATGGAGCTGGCTAACACCCAGGTGAGGCCCACCAATAGCAGCACAGCCACAGCTCGCAGTGGCCCTGGCACAAACACAAACCATTCCATTAGTATGATCAGCAACAGTACATTACATTCATTAGATAACAGACAGATGGGCACACCCACATGACACAAACAGTTTTGGCAAACATATACAGTGCTATGAAAAAGTATTTGCCCCCTTTCTAATTTTCTCTACTTTTGCATATTTGTGATACTGAATTATCAGATCTTCAACCAAAACCTGATATTAGATAAAGGGAACAAAAGTGAACAAATAACACAACAATTACATATTTATTTCATAAACAAAGTTATGCAACACCCAATTCCCCTATGTGAAAAAGTAATTGCCCCATTACACTCAATAACTGGTTGTGCCACCTTTAGCTGCAATGACTCCAACCAAATGCTTAATGTAGTTGTTGATCAGTCTCTCACGTCGCTGTGGAGGTTTTTTGGCCCACTCTTCCATGCAGAACTACTTTAACTCAGTGACGTGTGGGATTTGAAGCATGAGCTGCTCGTTTCAAGTCCTGCCACAACATCTCAATTGGGATTAGGTCTGGACTTTGACTAGGCCATTCCAAAACTTCCAATTTGTTGCTTTTTAGCTATTTTCATGTAGACTTGATTGTGTGTTTTGGATCATTGTGAAATAAATGTGTAATTGTTGTGTTATTTGTTCACTTATGTTCCCTTTATCTAATATTAGGTTTTGGTTGAAGATCTGATAACATTCAGTATCACACATATGCAAAAGTAGAGTAAATTAGAAAGGGGGCAAATACTTTTTCATAGCACTGTAAATTCCTACCTGCCAATCTCATTATCGATTTCCTTCAGAAGCAAGGGCAGATTGGCAAGTAGTCCTAGGGATAGAAAAACAAAACAATGAGACAGAAAATACTAATAGTAACGTCAGTAAGCATATGAGCTTTTCACTGGAGAACAATGACGTTTGAAATCTTAATGATACATTTTTATAAAATTACAGTAATCTCTATCAACGATAAACTGTAGTAACAGTGGCAAACATCAAAAAAGTAAAGAAAAGGCGCCCACTGCAAAGAGGCAACACCCACCCACCGTACAATATATTTAAACTTAAAACATTCATTAGTATATCGATGTCCTACTTACTGTCTAGAAGAGGATTAATAATAGCTTGTCCCAGTTGGTTAACAACCAGCTATTGTCACCTGGGACTTTTATTTATTCCAAGGAAACCTCAAGACTTTCCCCTCGTGAAAATGCACCTTTGCTGGGAAGCCAAACTTCGAAACAAAAAAGTAAGCCAATGAAATATGATTTGGACGACTTAGTTGACCATCTGTAAGATTTGATTCGTTGCAGTTTTGACAAGCACGCAGGATTGATGTTTATTTCATCAAGCTTGTGCTTTTCCGGATTCGTTTTGAGCCTTTCATTTTTCGGTGACGTTGGTCTCGAATATGCTTCTTCTTCTTCTTCGATGAGGTTTAACCAAGGTTTGCATCCAATTTGTTGCATCACCGCCATCTACTAGACTGGAGTACAACTCCCTTATATTTTGCTTGAAAAATAAAATAAAGAAATACCCCACCATCTAACACTACACTCACAAATTCTAAAATATTATTAATAATTAACACCACCCTACTCCACTATTTAAATATATTCATTCCTACCTCATGCCCTCAACCTGAAATGATGGGACATCACCACTTAACATTCCCTGTAACTCTTCTGATGTCAAGTCTCGCACACCCAAATACCTATCTTCAGCTGCCACCACAACCTCAATTTTCTTCGACTTACGTTCCATCCCTGCAGTACAATGAATAACCATTGCTATAAATGCTAAAAATCCAATCTTACTGAAACATATATCACTTGTTGGCCTATCCCTCTGTACTGGTACATATCTACTACTCTCACCACTCTTCCCCCTTGACCGATCTTCCTCTACTTTCTTCACTGCCTCAGCATATGACAACTTCTTCACTACTCTTACCCTGGATACCTCAACCTCCCTCTCTCGCACGGGACATTTCTGATCCCCACCCCATGGGCAACCCTACAATTAGCACATACCACCACTTTCTCCAATGCTACACATTCCTTTGTCTCATGCCCTTCTGCACACCTTGGAACCTCCCTCCTACACACTGCTGCCACATGCCCATAAGTTTGACACCTGTAACGTCGTAATGTATTCGGTACATAAGCTTGTACATCACTTTGTCAGGCAAAGACTCAACTTCAAAACTCAAAAGAACAGACATTGACTTCTGTTTCCCCACTCTCGCCACCCTGTTTGCGTCGCACCAAACGACGAGCATCACAAACACCGGGAATCTTACATTTACATTTTACATTTTAGTCATTTAGCAGACGCTCTTATCCAGAGCGACTTACAGTTAGTGAGTGCATACATTTTCATACTACAAATGTTTTTACGGTTTTCCATAAAGAATCAATAATGTTGAACATAAATAAGCACAGAGCTCAACAGACCAATCATTCTGGATCCATGATTGACATAAAATAAACCATTATCAAGTCAGTGCTTTTCATTTTGAGAAATATTGGCTGAAATAACAGAAAAAGCCCTTTAGTATACAATTTCAAACCAACCTCCACAATGCATTGTGGATGACCACTGATCTACAGTATGTCTAAGTCCCCCTTCAGTTGGTCAACTTTTACATTTACTGCTACGCCAGTAATCACTCCTTTCACTGGCGCCCTTTTCTTGAGAGCGAAACAATTCTTTCCCCCATTTGTTAACTCTGAGCGCCTTCTCCCTCTGACCAACATAAACACAAACAATTATCACTAGACCACTTCTGGTTACCCTCACCGATTCCACTATACCCATCTCGAGTATGCGCAACATGGGCTCACATCATTCGCGCATGAATTTTTCTACGCTTCATAAAAACATGTTGACGATATGATGGGATATTATCATTCAAATGCATTACATAAACTAATACGAAGCGAGAATGGATTTGAAAAACTCAGCCTAAACCGGTCTGAAAACGGACTTTAGAAGAGCACTAGCTCTAATGTAAATTCTGGCAACATTGGTCGAGTTCGTTTTGCATGGAACAGTGCCCCGGGTGGGCAAAATTTTGTCAGTTTAGACCATTCCGTCACAGTTTCTAAACCCAGAGATGCAATATCGCAAGACTTCCGGGAATGCTTGCGGAACAGAACAAGCTGAACAGGCCGGGGTTTTGCGTTTTCAGAAGTCAATGAGAGAAGTAAAAAATTATTATTTAGTTGTTAATTTTCTCAAAATCTAAATGCACAACCTAGATTCGAGCCAACGTCTTAAGTAGTTTAACATGTTATTACTCCAACCTCGTGAAAGTGACAGACTGACACGTTTTCATTTTTGTCAAAAACAACATGCGAAACGAACTCAGCCAATCTTCTCTCTGCTGTGTGGGCACGAGCAAATGCGCGTGCATGCTATCAATCAGATTGCATCAAGATGGCCGCTTCCAGTGCAGCGCTCTCAATGTCCAAAATCATCAAACCCATTTGGTGTGGACGGTTGTCAACGACGGCAAAAGTAAGATCGTTTTTATGATTCACAGTTATGATGATAATGGAACTACATAAAACTAGGCTTGAAATCAATAGTGTTTCTAGACTAGAACACAAGGTCATATCTGGTTAGCTAGCTAGCTAGCTTCCTGGGGTGCAGTCATTACTCCAAACAGTTGCAAAACAACAGAATGTAGCGTTTCTATTGGACAGATTCAGTAGGTCCTGCCCTCTTTGCTGAACCTGTTCAATAGAAACGCTAGTTTTCGTTGCAAAACGTTTGGAGTAATGATTACACCCCTGGTTAACATAAGCAGGAAGGGCATGTTAGTGTCCACAACTCTCTTCCACTGCTATCTCCTCATACATTCATACTGTACTGTTGAATGTGTATCACTGTTGGATGACAACAGGCTACTAGAAAGCCTCACAGGTCGTCAATGACCACATAATCCACAAATTGAGTTAGGTAACGCCCGGTTCTTTCCTGTTCTGTTTCCTCAGGTTTTTGGAGCCACAGTGAGCAGTCGCAGAGAGAAGTCAACAGTAGTGAGTGCCCATCTAAGAATCGGTATCAAATAGACTATCTGTGGTGTTATGAGTAGGCCTAGACCTTGTGAATGCTGTCTGGCAGAGTGTGCAGAGCTAGGCCTCTTATAGCCAAGTTTAACTCAACTCCACAATGTACATCACATCAATGGAGTTGAGCGGAGACCACTGTTGACGTACTGAACCTCTGACTTCGAATAGCTGTCAGTCGATACTTGTAAAAATGTACATTCTTAAACCCTTACCGTGTACCTATCTTGTCTTTCTTTGTTTGCTGAAATCCATACTTTTTAATAAAATTTTCCTCAAACGCAACCACTAACTGTTTCCTCGTATCGACTGACAGCGACTCGATGTAGTCGTCGCATTTCAGCTAGGCCACTTGACATTTTAGCTACATGAGTTGCCTCGTACACTTGAGTGTCAGAAATCATAAGGGTTGCTGTCAACTATGTCTATTTTAAGCATCATACTAACAATGTAGTGTAAGTTGTGTGATGTTGCTAGCCTACACAGGTATTTTACTATGACCAGAACGAGCTTCACACTGGCACTCTGTCAGACTCAAACGTTTCTGAGGGACATTCAGACGGAACTCTAGATACTTCTGCTTGGTATTGATTATTTTGGGGTTGATTTGGTGTGACAAAGCTAACTCTGCTAACTAACTCAATTGTCAGCCTCAGGCTGAGCATTTTTAACCTGATGAAGCCCCTTTTCAAATTATTTGGACCACATTGGGGAGAGGGAATCAGGGATGAGCTACCAATCTAAGGGGGGAAGGGCAACTGTTGGATTTCAGGTGCTTTGCTAATCTCTCACTGTATTGTTCCGCTTTTCCGGCCGCGTTTCTACAACTAACAGGGACAAATCATTGTAAGTACCACGTTACATCCCATCATATCATGTTACAGGCCTCCACATACCCACGTTACACATAACACACCTTATTCATACAATTGCCACACAACCACAGCATGGTAATAACTCTGACAGAACAATACACAAAGATGACAAATGTATACATTTCAGCCCCCTCCTGCGAAGTATGGTGGCAGACACACTGTAACTCTGATACCTGGAGATGGTATTGGACCAGAACTTCTCAATCACGTCAGGGAGCTCTTCAGGTCAGTTAAATGTGTATTATAACAGTCTATAACATGTTTATTAGCTGTTATTCACAGTTTATAAACGACTTATAAACACATAGCCACATATGTCCCTGGGAGCTCTTAACATCTGTTAAAGGAACAATCCACTCTAAAACAATCTTTTGGTATTTGTTTCATTTGTCCACTGTTACAGTTCCACAATGTTTTTCTTGTCAGCAATAACGTGTTTAAAATATTTAACTTTCAAAACACTCTGTCACATCATCATGATGATGCGTTTTGATCATCATGATGTGGCAAGTGACAATTTTCATTTAGAAAGGTATATATCATGAGTGGATTACCAAAATATCGTTTAAGTTTATTATAACTGATTATAACATTCATGACTTATAAACACCTGTACCAGTTAAACAGTTTGTATTAAATATATATTGGATTAAAGCGGTAGGGAGTGGCTACCAAGTTCCTAAAATGTTATTCACAGCTTATGAACTGCTTATAAACACATCAACATATGTCTCACATACACTACCGGTCAAATGTTTTAGAACACCTACTCATTCAAGGGTTTTTCTTAATTTTTACTATTTTCTACATTGTAGAATAATAGTGAAGACATCAAAACTATGAAATAACACATATGGAATCATGTAGTAGCCAAAAAAGTGTTAAACAAATCAAAATATATTTTATATTTGAGATTCTTCAAATAGCCACCCTTTGCCTTGATGACAGCTTTGCACACTCTTGGCATTCTCTCAACCAGCTTCATGAGGTAGTCACCTGGAATGCATTTCAATTAACAGGTGTGCCTTTTCAAAAGTTAATTTATTTGGTAAAAGACCAAGTCCATATTATGTCAAGAACAGCTCAAATAAGCGAAGAGAAAATGACAGTCCATCATTACTTTAAGACATGAAGGTCAGTCAATACGGAACATTTCAAGAACTTTGAACGTTGCAAGTGCAGTTGCAAAAACCATCAAGCGCTATGATGAAACTGGCTCTCATTAGGACCACCACAGGAATGGAAGACCCAGAGTTACCTCTGCTGCAGAGGATAAGTTCATTAGTTACCAGCCTCAGAAATTGCAGCCCAAATAAATGCTTCACAGAGTTCAAGTAACAGACACATCTCAACATCAACTGTTCAGAGGAGACTGTGTGAATCAGGCCTTCATGGTCGAATTGCTGCAAAGAAACCACTACTAAAGGACACCAATAAGAAGAAGAGACTTGCTTGGGCCAAGAAACATGAGCAATGGACATTAAACCGGTGGAAATTTGTCCTTTGGTCTTTGTGAGATGTGGTGTGGGTGAACGGATGATCTCCGCATGTGTATTTCCCACCGTAAAGCATGGAGGAGGAGGTGTTATGGTGTGGGGTGCTTTGCTGGTGACACTGTCTGTGATTTATTTATAATTCAAGGCACATTTAACCAGCATGGCTATCACAGCATTCTGCAGCGTTACGCCATCCCATCTGGTTTGGGCTTAGTGGGACTATCATTTGTTTTTCAACAGGACAATGACCCAACACACCTCAAGGCTGTGTAAGGGCTATTTGACCAAGAAGGAGAGTGATGGAGTGCTGCATCAGATGACCTGGCCTCCACAATCCCCCGACCTCAACCAAATTGAGATGGTTTGGGATGAGTCGGACCGCAGAGTGAAGGAAAAGCAGCCAACAAGTGCTCAGCGTATGTGGGAACTCCTTCAAGACTGTTGGAAAAGCATTCCAGGTGAAGCTGGCTGAGAGAATTTTTTAATTTTTATTTATTTAAATTGTTGTCCTTTAGCAGACGCTCTTATCCAGAGCGACTTACAGTTAGTGAGTGCATACATTCTTTTATTTTAATTTTTCATACTGGCCCCCCGTGGGAATCGAATCCACAACCCTGGCGTTGCAAACGCCATGCTCTACCAACTGAGCTACATCCCTGCCGGCCATTCCCTCCCCTACCCTGGACGACGCTGGGCCAATTGTGCGCCGCCCCATGGGTCTCCCGGTCGCGGCCGGCTACGACAGAGCCTGGATTCGGACCAGGATCTCTAGTGGCACAGCTAGCACTGCGATGCAGTGCCTTAGACCACTGCGCCACTCGGGAGAGAATGCCAAGAGTGTGCAAAGCTGTCATCAAGGCAAAGGGTGGCTATTTGAAGAATCTCAAATCTCAAATATATTTTTATTTGTTTAACACTTTTTTGGTTACTACATGAGTCCATATGTGTTATTTCATAGAAAATAATAAAAAATAAAGAAAAACCCTTGAATGAGTAGGTGTTCTAAAACGTTTGACCGGTAGTGTACATAGTGGTACAACCAATGAGTTGAGGTAGAATGACTGAGTCGGTTTTGTTCTATAGGTTCAGCTGTGTGCCTGTGGACTTTGAGGTAGTGAACGTCTGCTCAGCTACTGAGGATGACATCAATAATGCCATTACTGCCATCCGCCGTAATGGAGTGGCCCTCAAAGGTAGGAGAAACACTGTAGTGCTCATAGCACCATGCTCTTGTACTCGCATTGTAGGCAGGTTCCAGCTATAGGACCATTTATCCGTAACTGCAAATGTGTCACTCACTGCAACATATGATAAATTGTGTGTCTGTATTCTATAGAATGCCTATAACACTGTCACCATGTTTATGCATTTGTTTGTTTGTAGGTAACATTGAAACCCTCCACACCCTGCCTGCTTCCCACAAGTCCAGAAACAACCTCCTCCGGTAAGTACAGGTTTCAATCCAACGTTTTATTTTAAAAAGACATCTTCCTCGAGTGCTCCGCTTACGGGGTGCCTTTCTCTATCCCAAACGGTCCTCTCTATCCCAAACGGTCCTCTATTGCTCTGCGGCTCTCTCTGTCCAGCCTGTCAGCTTACACTGTCTCCACTCATCTCACTGCCCCCCAGTACCACTTTGGACCTGTATGCCAACGTCATGCACTGTAAGTCCCTCCCTGGAGTCCAGACTCGCCACAACAACATTGACATCATGATCATCAGGGAGAACACTGAGGGAGAGTACAGCAGTCTGGAGCATGAGGTTAGATGCACACAGATGCACAGACACACACGCAGACACGTACGCACACGCACAGACAGACACACACACACTTTTTCTCCTCTCAACTTATCCCTTTCTTTTTTCGTTCACACTCTTTGCTTGATATAACCTGCATTAACATCCCTCTCTCCTTCCCTTCCTCCTGTAGAGTGTATCAGGGGTGGTGGAGTGTCTAAAGATCATCACCCGGACTAACTCCCTGAGAATCGCTGAGTATGCCTTTAAATTGGCCCGGGAGAAAGGTCGCAAGAGGGTCACTGCCGTCCACAAGGCCAACATCATGTAAGTCAAGTCAGCCGAGGTGTAGATGTGTATTCCACCAGTTGTCTGTTCTAATGACTCACACTCTGAGCACTTTGGGGCTGCGGTCCAATTGTGTACCCTTCTCCCCGAAGTGTGCACTCGTTCGCTCCACCTCATAAATTTAAAAGGGACAGAGTTGTGTAAGAAATATGGTGGTAACTGTACCCGCCCCCTAGCCCATGTGTACACTATTCCAATGCTTTGAAAAGAACGAGGTGGAGTGAACAAGTCAAGTGGACACTTCAAGAAGAAGGGTAGAGTGTCAGAATGCAACCAAGGGGTTGAACGTCCCTTCTCCCCTTCACAGGAAGCTGGGAGATGGTCTGTTTCTGCAGTGCTGTAGAGAGGTGGCTGCTGGGTACCCTGACATTGCCTTTGACGCCATGATAGTCGACAACACCACCATGCAGGTATGAACATCAATGCTATCTTTATTATACAGGCACACCAGAAAGTTTTTACCTGGTCCCAGATCTGTTTGTGCTGTCCCGCCAACTCATATGGCCGTTGATATTGCCATGAATTGGCACTTGGCAAGATGGTACAAACAGATCTGGGACCAGGCTAAGAAAGTTTTGTCCATGTTACTCATGCTTATTAGTGTTGTTTACCCATTCCCCTCTTGTTCCCTAGCTGGTGTCCAAGCCCCAGCAGTTTGATGTGATGGTGATGCCCAACCTGTATGGTAACGTGGTCAGCAACGTGTGTGCCGGCCTGGTGGGAGGGCCTGGGCTGGTGCCGGGGGCTAACTACGGCCGCGACTATGCTGTCTTCGAAACGGTCAGTCCAATGGGCACCTGTAATGTCTGCAACTTTGAAAATGTAATATGATGCTCCTACAGTGGTTTGAAACGCACCTACAACATACAATGTTTAGCTCCCATTGGGATCTTAGTCCAATTTAAATAGGGCTTAGCATTTGTAAATTGAGGAGTGAATGCTGGACTTAAACAGTGGTCAGTTGACGTGGCCAGGTATATCAATGATCTCTCGATATGTTCGCTCTCTGTCTCTCTCTGTGTCTTTTCTCTATGTAACTCTCAGGCCACCAGAAACACAGGGAAGAGTATTGCTGACAGGAACATTGCTAACCCCACTGCCATGCTACTGGCCAGCTGCATGATGCTGGACCACCTCAAGTAAGTTCACCTTGCATCGTCTAATGAAGGGGCTGTTTCTAAACCATGACAATGTGTACAGTGAAGGAAAAAAGTATTTGATCCCCTGCTGATTTTGTACGTTTGCCCACTGACAAAGAAATGATCAGTCTATAATTTTAATGGTAGGTTTATTTGAACAGTGAGAGACAGAATAACAACAAAATAATCCAGAAAAACGCATGTCAAAAATGTTATAAATTGATTTGCATTTTAATGAGGGAAATATGTATTTGACCCCCTCTCAATCAAAAAGATTTCTGGCTCCCAGGTGTCTTTTATACAGGTAACGAGCTGAGATTAGGAGCACACGCTTAAAGGGAGTGCTCCTAATCTCAGCTTGTTACCTGTATAAAAGACACCTGTCCACAGAAGCAATCAATCAGATTCCAAACGCTCCACCATGGCCAAGACAAAAGAGCTCTCCAAAGATGTCAGGGACAAGATTGTAGACCTACACAAGGCTGGAATGGGCTACAAGACCATCGCCAAGCAGCTTGGTGAGAAGGTGACAACAGTTTGTGCGATTATTCTCAAATGGAAGAAACACAAAAGACTGTCAATCTCCCTCGGCCTGGGGCTCCATGCAAGATCTCACCTCGTGGAGTTGCAATGATCATGAGAACGGTGAGGAATCAGCCCAGAACTACACAGGAGGATCTTGTCAATGATCTCAAGGCAGCTGGGACCATAGTCACCAAGAAAACAATTGGTAACACACTATGCCGTGAAGGACTGAAATCCTGCAGCGCCCGCAAGGTCCCCCTGCTCAAGAAAGCACATATACAGGGCTGTCTGAAGTTTGCCAATGAACATCTGAATGATTCAGAGGAGACCTGGGTGAAAGTGTTGTGGTCAGATGAGACCAAAATCGAGCTCTTTGGCATCAACGCAACTCGCCATGTTTGGAGGAGGAGGAATGCTGCCTATGACCCCAAGAACACTATCCCCACCGTCAAACATGGAGGTGGAAACATTATGCTTTGGGGGTGTTTTTCTGCTAAGGGGACAGGACAACTTCACCGCATCAAAGGGACGATGGACGGGGCCATGTACCGTCAAATCTTGGGTGAGAACCTCCTTCCCTCAGCCAGGGCATTGAAAATGGGTCGTGGATGGATATTCCAGCATGACAATGACCCAAAACACACGGCCAAGGCAACAAAGGAGTGGCTCAAGAAGAAGCACATTAAGGTCCTGGAGTGGCCTAGCCAGTCTCCAGACCTTAATCCCATAGAAAATCTGTGGAGGGAGCTGAAGGTTCGAGTTGCCAAACGTCAGCCTCGAAACCTTAATGACTTGGAGAAGATCTGCAAAGAGGAGTGGGACAAAATCCCTCCTAAGATGTGTGTAAACCTGGTGGCCAACTACAAGAAACGTCTGACCTCTGTGATTGCCAACAAGGGTTTTGCCACCAAGTACTAAGTCATGTTTTGCAGAGGGGTCAAATACTTATTTCCCTCATTAAAATGCAAATCAATTTATAACATTTTTGACATGCGTTTTTCTGGATTTCTTTGTTGTTATTCTGTCTCTCACTGTTCAAATAAACCTACCATTAAAATTATAGACTGATCATGTCTTTGTCAGTGGGCAAACGTACAAAATCAGCAGGGGATCAAATACTTTTTTCCCTCACTGTATGTATTATCTGCGCTGCAGTCGACTTGTTGAACAGAACAGATGACGTGAAAGTCAATTCATTGTATTTCTGTGTGTCTCAGGCTCCATGATTATGCCACTATGATCAGGAATGCAGTCCTGACGACCATGAACGAGACTCAGGTAAGTCAAGTTCTCTCACCTCATTGTACAATACACTCACCAGGGGTGTATTCACTAAGAAACCCAACAGAACCAAACGGAAGCAAAGGAAAGCAAGCAAGCAAACGGAATGAAACGGGGAGGGACCTAACTGAATTTGTCATTGCAAAACGTTTTCTGTTTGGAGTAAACGGTTTGTGTTGCAAACGTTTTGCAACTGTTTGCTACGATCTAATTAATACACCTCTGCTCAATACTCTCACCTCACTGCACACCTATCACGCTACTCAATACTCTCACCTGACTTAACACGTCACTGCTCTGTATATACACACACCTTACTGCCGACTTACCTCCTGAGGGTCTGGCCAGTTATCAACGGAGCGCATGCAAATAAAGAGCTATTCACATTTATTCTATTTTTTGAAAGTATTTTAATTGTCTGCTATTATAGCTAGAAATGTATCAAATTCCTCCTTGACACTCTGGGCCAGGGGTAGGCAACTAGATTCAGCCACGGTCCGTTAATTGTCGGAGCGGATGGTCAGGGGGCCAGAACATAATTATAATTATTTGTACACTGCAAATTGACCACAGCAAAATAAAAATCACTCACTTGGCCTGGCACAGGTTTGGCAACAGGCTGCCCGTGGGCCAAAACCGTCCCGCGGGCAGCCTGTTGCCGACCCCTGCTCTAGGCCAACCTGTCCAACCTGTAATCTAATGTATGCTGCTCTATTGAGCCTCTTCGTCTTCATAATTTTTTGCCATTGTAACCACTGATTTATTATCAGTATAGAATCCCTCTGAGGAGGGTGTGATTTGATAGTACTTCTGGGGCCTGTACAGGGGAGAGCAATGTTACAGAATTTTCAGAAATAAATGTATTGTGTAGAATAGATATGATTGTCTGTCACAGAGAATATGGAATGGTGTTCGCTTTATTTGCTATATGTATATTGTTTCTTTGAGTAGAATGTGATTTGTGACATGTTATATTTCTGTTATCCTGCAGTTGCACACAGACCTGAGGGGATATAATGGCAATGTTGACAGTTGTCTTACATAGCATCTGCCTATTATAATAATAATATTATTCTCCTGCAGTTGCACACAGCTGACATCGGGGGGCAGGGCACCACCTCTGAGGTGGTCCAGGCTATCATGAGGAACATCCAGAGCAAGGGGCCTCTCACCAGCGAGCTCTGAACACACATACACACACACACACACACACACACATTGTGGATGTGTCTCGTATGTTTAAAATGGCTGTAATGTACTGTATGTGTGTGCTGAGTAAGTGGGGGTGTGTTTGTGCATGTTTGTTTCTATAGTGATGCTCCTCTGTGTTGTTGACGTGTGGGAGCGGTTCAGTCCTGTCTTTAAACACACACACACACACACATACCTTTCAGACTAGCAGTGTATTCATCAGTTATCTTCTCCTTTGCACACTTTTCATTCATGTCTATAATAGCATGCTGTAGTGAAGAAGTAAAAGCAAGGATCTATCTCTTAGGTTTAACCCCAGGACATGATAGCTACTCTCTGCTAGGTGTATCCTACAACCCAGTACATGATAGCTAGATTGCAACACCTTCAGCTCCACCTGGAGACATTGGCTTTGTTTGATTGTATTTAAGCAACTGTTCTTAGGTACATTTGTCACTCATATCTATATACTGTCTCTTATTAACGTACAGTGGTTGAAATCTAGAGGGAACAAAGCACGTTTACCTGCTAAATCAAATGGGTTTGTTTTGGTTTCATATACTGTGGCTGTATGTATGAAATTAATATTATCGATTAAAAAGGTTATCTAAGCCTACTTTTGTTGGGTAATACTTTGTTTTCAGGATCCAACACATTTCTTGGTCAATTTCAGTGCAATACAAGCTGCAACGAGGGAACAGTATTGGCTTCAGAGCAGGCAAATTTAAGGGATGCATCCCAAATGGCCCCCTATTCATTTTATGGTGCACAACTTTTAAACAGGGCCACAGGGCTCGGGTCAAAAGTAGTGCACTATATAGGGAATAGGGTCCATGGGTCCTGGTCAAAAGTAATGCACTATATAGGGTTCCATTCGGGACGGAACCAGGCTGTTATTTTGGAACTAGTATGAAGTATGATTTAGGTTATGATTAGGAATTACTGAAATACGCAAAGGATGGTTAGTCAAACAGGAATGGGATTTTATTTAATCCAATTTGGATGTGATAGACAACCCCCTCTCTCTTTAGAAACATGCTTAGGCTATGTTACCTGGAATGAAATAACCTCAGAAATGCGTATGATATTGTTACATCCATATTTGAATGGGAATTTTAAGTTGAATATACTTTTACCACCATTAAGTATTTTTTTTGTCTTCGTATTTACTTAAGTGAAACACCGTGAAATGTGCAGGATTTTATTCTAAATGGCCTACAAAATACATTTCATACAGTCTCAGTAAGAGGTGACGTGTCAACACAGCCACGTTCCCATAGTGCATTGCGCTGATACCGTACACGTCATTGCAGCTCAACGGTCTGAAATCTGGAGGTATACTTTTTGACATTGGTTCCTTTTTGAAGGAAGACGTGTCTGAAACAACTGCTGAAATAACTAGCTGCACAATTCTTTCTCGTGTTAAAGACATTTTGATAAATCAATCATGATGATCAGAATAGCCGCGTTTATTGCTCTTGTCTGCCTGTGCACAGGTAAGTCATTTCAGAGAGATAGCTACAGTAACTAGCTAGCGTCAAGGAAATGTACAGTGCATTCGGAAAGTATTCAGACCCTTTGACTCTTTCCACGTTATTACATTACAGCCTTATTCTGAAATGGATGAAATTATTTTTTCCCTTCAATCTACACACAATAGTCCATAATGACAAAGCAAAAACTGTTTTTTAGAAATGTTTGCAAATGTGTATATATATCTCACATTTACATAAGTATTCAGACCCTTTACTCAGTACTTTATTGAAGCACCTTTGGCAGCGATTACAGCCTCGAGTCTTCTTGGGTATGACGCTACAAGCTTGGCACACCTGTACTTGGAGTTTCTCCCATTCTTCTCTGCAGATCCTCTCATGCTCTGTCAGGTTGGATGGGGAGCGTCGCTGCACAGCTATTTTCAGGTCTCTCCAGAGATGTTAGATCGGGTTCCAGTCCGGGCTCTGGCTGGCCCACTCAAGGACATTCAGAGACTTGTTCCGAAGCCACTCCTGTGTTGTCTTGGCTGTGTGCTTAGTGTCGTCGTCCTGTTGGAAGGTGAACCTTTGCCCCAGTCTGAGGTCCTGAGCGCTCTGGAGCAGGTTTTCATCAAGGATCTCTGTACTTTGCTCCGTTCATCTTTCCCTCGATCCAAAAACAGCTGCCACTACCATGCTTCACCGTAGGGATGGTGCCAGGTTTCCTCCAGACGTGAGGCTTGGCATTCAGGCCAAATGGTTACATCTTGGTTTCATCAGACCATATAATCTTGTTTCTCATGGTCTGATAATCCTTTAGGTGCCTTTTGGCAAACTCCAAGTGGGCTGTCGTGTGCCTTTTTACTGAGGAGTGGTTTCCGTCTGGCCACTCTACCATAAAGGCCTGATTGGTGGAGTGCTGCAGAGATGGTTGTCCTTCTGGAAGGTTCTCCCATCTCCACAGAGGAACATGGAGCTCTGTCAGAGTGACCATCGGGTTCTTGGTCACCTCCCTGACCAAGGCCCTTCTCCCTGGATTGATCAGTTTGGCCGGGCGGCCAGCTCTAGGAAGAGTCTTGGTTGTTCCAAACTTCTTCCATTTAAGGATGATTGAGGCCACTGTGTTCTTGGGGACCTTCAATGCTGCAGAACACTTCCCCAGATCTGTGCCTCGACACAATCCTGTCTCGGAGCTCTACGGACAATTCCTTCGACCTCATGGCTTGGTTTTTGCTCTGACATGCACTGTCAAATGTGGGACCTTATATAGACAGGTGTGTCTTTCCAAATCATGTCCAATCAATTGAATTTAGCACAGGTGGACTCCAATCAAGTTGTAGAAACATCTCAAGGATGATCAATAGAAACAGGATGCACCTGAGCTCAACTTCGAGTATCATAACAAAGGGTCTGAATACTTATGTAAATAAGGTATTTTTGTTTTTCTAAAAACCAGTTTTCGCTTTGTCATTATGGGGTATGTGTGTAGGTTGATGAGGGAAAAAATTAATTTAATCAATTTTAGAATAAGGCTGTAACGTAACAAAATGTGGAAAAGGGAAGTGGTCTGAATACTTTCAGAATGCACTGTATTAGCTGGCTAGCATCAGTAGCTAGCTAAATGATAAGAGTTTGCTAGTTAACTAGCTATTTATAAGTAATGTCTTCATATTTAACCATGAAACTATACATCTAGTAAAGACATTTTAGCTATGTATTTGGATAGCTGGATAAGAAGGTGAATGTTAGCTAACTAGATGGATAGCTAGGTGGCTAGCTACAGTAGCCATTACATTTCAACACAATTTTGCAGATTTTATCAATCTGCTCCACCAGATAGTTGGCTAGCTAGATCAATTATTTTGTTATGCACAAGCTAGGCTCTCCGATTAGAAATTAACACTACCTTCGCATTAAGGTAGCTAGCAAAGACTTTGCTTGATATGTCATTTCTGCCAATGTTTAGGTGAGAGCTGTTCAGACCCTGTGATCACCCCCTCTGCCTACACCACCTCTGATGCCGTCATCTCCTCTGAGTCTGTCTTTATCGTGGAGCTCAGCCTGGCCTGCGCCAATGGAGCCCAGGTACTGTAGTTTGACACGACAGACAGACACACCTCTCTCTTTCTCATCACGCTCTAAATGTGTAATTTCCTTCAACAGAGTGTGGCTCTGTATGCTGACGTCAATGGCAGACAGTTCCCCGTGACCAGAGGCCAGGATGTTGGCAAGTACCAGGTAAGAGATGGCTCTGGTCTGATGTGGACATATACTATGGATGTCCAATATACACTTATCAAGAGTCACTTGAGCCTCTGTGCATGCTGTGTGTTTGACTTAGTTTGTCATGTCTTCACTCTGTCTCTCTCTGTGTTTCTCAGGTGTCCTGGAGCATGCCCCACAAACAGGCTAGCTCTGGTACATACCAGGTCAAATTCTTCGATGAGGAGTCCTATAGCTCTTTGCGCAAGGTAGGTGCATCATTCCTATTCATCTGGCTATGAGTATAACTGGGGACTTTTGCCGCGTTTAAGACAACTCGGAACTCTGAAATCTCTGACTTGGAAACTCATAGAAAGATGAGGTCTGAGTTTCCTGCTTGGAAAGTATCAGAATCAATGAATAGGAAGCTCTACGGCAAAACATTTTAGCACATTTTTACTCTGAGGTTCCTAGTTGTCTTGAACGCGGCATCACTCACACTTGGCAAGATAATCAGCGACCTAGCTACCAGTAATTTTAAATGGAAGGAGGAGACACAGCGGCTTAATGGTTGGCGACTAGACAGCAAGTGACCTGAGTTGAACGTTTCCCAAGTTCATGCACATTTCTGTGACGTGACTGCGCGACAGCCAATCGGAAGAAGGCAGCTCTTGTTAGCAAGCTTTGACATTGGCTAAAAACAACTGCGGTCATGCATGCTGTTTGAAAGATACAACCACCAGGGGAGATCTCAATGACTTGATTATCTCTGCAAGTGTGAGTCCAGAGTAAAATGTTTGTGCATACTGTCAGAAATGGCCTATAGCCTTATGCAAGTGTGTGTGTATTTGTTTGTTTGTTTTTAGGCCCAGAGGAACAATGAAGATAGTGACTCCATCCAGCCTCTCTTCTCTGTCAATGTGGATCACAGGGTGAGTCAGCATAGACAGAATAACAAATTAATACTTGATGAAAGACACTCATGTCTATAGTACACGCATTACACTTGGAAAATGGAGACGTCACAAACGGCAGAAGAGTAAACATTACTGAAGGCACCTTGCCGTTTTTGGAGACAGTGTTGTCTTTGGGAGCAAAAAGCAGTGGGTCGCAAACTTACGGTAAATACGTGAATTGTTTCCACAGTTAGCAAAGATGTTTATCTAGCTTGCAAATGTTATTTACAGTTACACAAAGCTCAGACACGTTTTTGCTACCTAAAGTAGCTCTGCTGTGTCTCCAAAAAAGACTAGGTGTCTCCAGTTGTTTACATTTATCAATTGTGATGCACCTTCCATGTGTTTTCACACATGATGGAACTCTCGTATCTAGTGTTTTTCATTCTCATCTGAGATTCCTTCCTAACTGGTGCTGCGTTGTCTTGTTGTTTCTAGGGTGCATGGAACGGCCCGTGGGTGGCTACTGAGGTTATGGCTGCTCTCATCGGCATCCTGGTCTACTACCTGGCCTTCAACGTTAAGAGCACCATCCAGGCATAAAGGACTGCAAGTCCCACAGTTCTCTGCAACTGGATCTCTAAAAGACTGTTGAACTCTGGTGTGACTTTTCTACCAATCCAACATCAACATACCTGTGGCAGAACAACAGTATGCCACCATCCATTTGGAGATGCGAAACTAGAACTAATTGTTTTGTCATTCTTATTTTTTTATTTTAAAGCAGGAGAAGACATTGCATTTTGTCAAGTTGTGGTAAAAAAAATTGCACACCTCAATCGAACCCGATGTACCCCACTAACTGAATTGAGCACAGTCATTTTGTGTTCAAAAGCAAACCCAGGTCCTGAAAGTTAAAGGACTGTTTCTATAGACCATCGCTGACTTCCTTCCACAGCCTCATGCTTATTGTTTACCTACCGGTGGACTTGGCCTCAGAGAGAATATCTGTCCATCATTCTGTGGTCTTTCTTGCGAAGGACCTTTGTATTGGTACTGATACTACACACTCTAAAATGGCTGGTTCTGTATGTACGAGAGTCTGAGTAGGAGTGCTGATCTAAGATGAGTTCCCCCATGTCTTATTCCTTATGATCTGAATAGCAATACTGATCCCAGATCAGCACTCATACGCAGAGACACTTTGTGAATACGGACTCTGATGTTTAAGAGTCTGACGCCCCTGTGGACTTGGCAGTTGCTGACTGGCTGTGTCTTATCTACAGTACATGGAACTGTTGCACTGGCTGGCTGAAGAGGCCAAATATTTCAGGATTGGTGATTATTTGTGCTTGCTAGTCAAATTAATAAATGGTTTGATTTTCTCCTACTGTGTCTCAATTATGCTGCACACATCTACATCTAGGGGAAAAACATTATCCAAGGCCACACTACAATGCGTCAAATAAAAATTAGTTACTGCTTGAGTATGAAGTAGATCACGGATCCCTGACTACATTGAGCTGAGGGACAATTTTTTTCTTGAGCAGATGGTCGAGGAGCCAGGTCATAATTATATATAATTCATAAGCTGCAAATTGACCGCAAGAAGCCCAAACAAATATAATAATAAATAAAAAATGTATGTGCTTTTCAAAACCCCAAAGTTCTAAATATAAGTACTATATACTAATATAGTATTTGACAAACGTTCAAACCTTGATTACATTGGAATATGATCACGTCTATTTATTTGTGGGGATACTTGGGAACAGATTTCCTAAATTAAAATCACTTTGAGCTGATTTCCTGGTGATTTTACAGACTATTTGCTGCCCAATGAAAATTACCATGTTTTGTTCAGAAAACTTGCAGGGCCAAGTAAAATCCCACGATCTGCCTGTTGAAGACCCCTGAAGTAGAGCATGACCTTAGTGGTTAGGATATTGAGCGATGTGTTGCCTGCTACATTACATAGGATACCTGTTAAACTGTATAGGCTTTTATCATAGCTATGTCCCAAATTGCACTCTATAGGGCTCTGGTCAAAAGTATTGCACTGCACTATATACTGACAAAATAATGGAAACACTTGAGTAAATGAGGGATACAAATATATATTGAAAGCAGGGGCTTCCACATGTGTGGTTCCTCAGTTAATTAATCAGTTAACATCCCATAATGCTTAGGGTGTTGAATAAAAATGCTGGGCAGGCCATTATTTTGGCTACCATGTCTATGCCCCCATAGGATGGCAAAGCCCCCATCCACAGGGCACGAGTGGTCACTGAATGGTTTGATGAACATGAAAACGATGTAAACCAGATCTCAACCCAATTGAACACTTATGGGAGATACTGGAGCGGAGCCTGAGACAGCGTTTTCCATCAACAAAACACCAAAGGATGGAATTTCTCGTGGAAGAATGGTGTTGCATCCCTCCAATAGAGTTCTAGACACATGTAGAATCTATGCCAAGGTGCATTGAAGCTGATCTGGCTCGTGGTGGCCCAACGCCCTATTAAATACACTTTATGTTGGTGTTTCCTTTATTTTGGCAGTTACCTGTAGGTAATAAGGTGTGCCATATATATACCATATATGCCCCTTGACTCAACACCATCTCTTCAATGTCCCCACAAATTCTGGAAAGAAATTCTCATGAATAGTTTTTCCATAATGATATCTTCTTTAGCAACCTATTCTTCTTTATACTCAGCATCTCCTCTCACGTTTGTGTGGTATTATGTGGTAAACATTTCCATAAATCCCTGCATCATCTAGCCCTCCTATTGCTGTAAACAGGGTCACATGCATGCCTATAAGGAGGCCGAAAACCATGGGTGTGTCCCAAAAGGTATTTATGTCCTATATAGTGCACTATCTGGTCAAAAATAGAGTGTTGTTTAGGACACAACCCCTTTCATGGATTTTTGTATTGTGGGGGAATGATCAGGGGGTAGGAAAATGATGTCATGTGGGGAGAGGATAGACTGAGAATGTCAAATCTAGCAGGCTTGTTTGTTCTCAACTGTCTTCTAGAAAGTCGTAGTTATTTTAGGTCAACATTTAAGTGGAGGCTGTTGAGGGGAGGACGGCTCATAGTAATGGCTGGAATGGAGTCAATGGAATAGTATCATACACATCAAAGACGTGGTTTCCATGCAGTTGATACCACTCCATTGACTCCATTCCAGCCATTATTATGAGCCGTCCTCCCCTCAACAGCCTCCACTGATTTACTGTATTTACTGGACAGTGTGTGGCAGCTGTGTGCTGCATGTCTGTGGTTCACTACCATCATAATTGAACAGTGTTGCTACATACCCTCCCACTCTCTCCAGCTGAAACACCATCACCTTATAGGTTGGTCTGCGGATTACTTGTAAATGAAACCCTCATTTTGTATCACTACTTTGTATTATCTTTTATGCTACTCATATGCCTCTATGTCTGGTCTCTATACAGTAGCATTGTCTAGTCTAGGCTTATCGAATAGCCGGCAGGGATGTAGCTCAGTTGATAGAGCATGGTGTTTGCAACGCCAGGGGTGTGGGTTCAATTCCCACAGGGGGTATGAAAAAAATAAATAATGTAAGTTGCTCTGGATAAGAGCGTCTGCTAAATGACGTAAATGTAAATGTAAATGTAAATGTTATGAGAACACAGTAACTGTAACTCCATCTGTCTATCTAAGCGAATTAGGTCAACTCTCTGTACTTAGTCCAGGTAACACGATATACTGTACACTCTCCTGTATACCTAAACAATGTACAAAGTACACGTGAGCTTTCTCATATGTCTATCTTTTCTTTAACAACACAATAGTTCAGAAACATCCTCTTCTGGAGTAATTCTGAAATAACACGTGGTGTGTGTGTGCGGGCGTGCGTGTTTGTGTGCATGCCTCCGTGCACATGCATGTGTGTGAGACAGTATGTATGAAAGACACTCCCAAATCACCAAGCTTGTTCCTGTGCTATGGTGTGACTGGGAAGGGAAACGACAAAGCCTGATGCATACATATTGACATGGCTAACCCTTCCTTTCTTCCTCCCTGCTCTCTATCTAATGCTCCTCGGCTGCATTGCTAGGTCCTCTTGGACCAACATCATCTACCTATAGTCATTGTCCAGAATGGCACCATATTCCCTATTTAGTGCACTACTTTTGACCAGATCCATATGGGCCCTGGTCAAAAGTAGTGCAGTATATAGGGAATAGAAGTGCCTTATATTGTGAATAGGGTTACATTTGGGACTCACACCTTTTTTATTTTACATTTATTTAACTAGGCAAGTCAGTTAAGAACAAATTCTTCTTTACAATGACGGCCTACATCGGCCAAACCCGGACCAATTGTGCGCCGCCCTATGGCACTCCCAATCACGGCCGGTTGTAATGACGCCTCAAGCACTGAGATGCAGTGCCTTAGACCACTGCGCCACTCGGGAGCCCTTGGACTAATAGCACCCATATTTGTCCTCAGGAGTCAGTCAAACTACAGTACAGTATATCAAGAGGTCACTTTAACATGTCAGCAACCCAGTGGGAACAGTTGGTTGAAATAACGTCATTACTGGTTGAAATATGGTTAAAATTATGTCATTACAACCATGGGCGCCTGACTTTCAGGTGCAGAAGGTGAGTTTAATAATGATAAACAAAACATGAGCCACATACAGAACGTGAATAAAAACAATACTACCTAGTGACTGATGGCTACTGGGAGAGTAATCAAGGAAATAATGATGTCCAGGTGTGCGTAATGATGGTTGCCAGGGTCGGTGGTTAGTAGACCCGCGACGTCGAGCGGCGGAGCTGGGGAGTGGGAGTAGGCGTGACATGGGGAGGAAAACATTTTCACAGATTTAATAATGTAATATTAGGCCTACTGATTATTTCTAACTATCTTGCGAGCTACTCATTGACAGCCCGCAACCTACCGGACATGCAGTTTTCTGTTAAGGTGCAACCTTTAGTAGGCTGATGGAAGGCTACTCAGAGTCTGCACTACAGAAAAGCTAAAATAAAGGATGTTTTATTATCACATACAACAGATAAGTACAGCGAAATGTATTGTTTTACAGTGTCAGCCATAGTAGTATGGTGCCCCTAGAGCGAATTAGGGTTAAGTGCCTTGCTCAAGGGCACTTCGACAGATTTTACTTCTTGTCGGCTCAGGTATTTCAACCAGCTAACTTGCGGTTAATGATCCAACCCTCTAACCGCTAGGCTGCCCGCAAATCTCTCGTTGTCAGATTCTCGTGGACAGATAAAGAGGAAATAACAAACTTTCGCGACAGAATTTAACTTCTGCATAACCGAGATTACAGATAAACCTAATCAGACATGCCCGTGCACGTCATGATTCTTACAGGCAAAGTGAAATGATACAATTAATTTGCTCGTGGTGCATGCAGTTCAAATCATATGTAAACACCATTGGACCAACACCATCGGACATGAAACAATAATAATATAATATGCCATTTAGCAGACGCTTTTATCCAAAGCGACTTACAGTCATGCGTGCATACATTTTTGTGTATGGGTGGTCCCGGGGATCGAACCCACTACCTTGGCGTTACAAGCGCCGTGCT